CCTGTGTAGGTGGTTAGAGAGTTCCTCATTATGTAAAGCATGTTTGTAAACCTCCATGATATGTACTAGCCTCTCTCAATCAGCATTAGAATTTTTCTTCAAGTGCCTTAGATGCGATATTAACATATATTTATTTGCCCACTTAGCTGTTTATAATAAAATAATAAAAGTTTACTGATTCATTACTGTAAAAAGTTTAAGGCCGTAAATTGTAAAAACAACTGAATGAAAATAATTCAAATTGAGTCTGATTCACAGTGTGAACATCCTGATCTTTTATTGTTAACAGGCACTCAATCATTCACAGGGTAGTCCAAGGAACCGTGTCAGTCCAAACACGTGTTGCCAATCAGAAAAAATGTTATTCAACAATAAAAAATAAAGCCCAGTACAGTGACATATGTCCGATTCTCAACAGATGAATATTTTCTGCAAAATACAAAATTCTTTGCAGTGACATATTTCCACTTAACATTTTCACTAAAAGCCTTTTCATGGACAGCAACCCTTCCTGTATAACTACACTCTTCTTCAGTGCTTCATTTAAATGATGATGCTGCATACATGTGAAACACTGCGTGATAATTCTTTCCTCTTCAACATCTTTCCACCAGCACTGTCCCCGATGAGTCCAGCTCCTCGAGCCAGCCTTTTGTCGCCCAATTGCTGCAGTTATAAAAGAGGAAACTGCCACCACCGACTGGTAGAACATGTGCAGCATTTCACTGCAGACGTCAAAGGATCTGAGCCTCCTTAAGAAGAAGAGCCGGCGCTGTCCCCTTTCCATAGAGGGCATTGTGTCCAGCTGGTTTGTCCATATGCACACCTTGGTTTTTGTTAGTCTGCACCACCTGAGTTTCCACAACTACAACTGCAGCGCCACACTCTAGGCGTCGCCACTCTGGTTTTTGTTTTTATATTGGGAGTAAGTTTGTGTGCAGGGCATCAGGCAGATTAATGTCCCAGTCATGACTGTATGAAGTCAGAAATATGCAGTTTACACTCAAGCTGTTATAAAGACTTGTCATTTTAGTGTTAAAACATTTAAAGATTTGTGATGTCTGTTTCTTCATTCATTACTCGCACTGACATATTTGGTTGTTAAAACCTGAGCCATAAAGTCATGAAGTGTCTTTTTGTGACGTATCTAAGGAGGAAACTGTTCGTCTACTTGGGACATGGAAGCAGAAAAGACTAACTGGAAGTTTACTGTGCCCTCCTTTCCCTGGTGACTCTGCAAAGGAATTCACATCAAACATCTATTTTTAGAGCTCTGCTCCAATAATGAGGAAGAAACACTGTTATTTTGGTCTTTTTCCGATAAGGCTGACACCAAAATAGCCATGACTTAAGGACACAAGAGTGTGTTGCATGGTTTTATTTTGTATAACATTATGAGATAGTTATTTGCACGTTGCACTTCTTTTCTTTGGAACGGCAAGGGTGGATACTGTAATCTCTGCTCACTGATGCAACATGAAAATGCTGTTTCTTTTGTTTATTTAACTGACCTGCTTTCTAATTCATAAGCAATAGTGCATCAGTTTCAGTGGCATCTACACCAGCCCTCAAAAACATGTATAAATGACATGCAAACCAAGACCAAAAGAAATCAATAAAGTCATAGAGACTGCACAAATCAAATCAAGATAACGCCATGGTAAAAGTATTACTTCTGTAAAAATGGAATTTTCATTTAAAAGAAGCGAGCAGTTCCACAGTAGCTGTTTTAATGTGAAGAAGAAGTAGGCTGACATGACTCAACAGCGTTAAAAGAAAACACAGAACAAAAGGATTAATGGATTAAGATAAAACACTGCAGCTCCTGGCCCATGAAAGAATTAAAGAAACAGAACTGTCAGAATAATATTTTCTTTGCAAACATCCTCATTCTTCTTCAGAACACTTTGTGTCCTTTGGAAAAGCACAATAATGAAGGAAGTTCAGGCGCTGATTTGAAAGTCTGCTCGTTACTTGGTTGTTTGCCACAACGACCTTGTACAATATCTGCTGACACTTACACACACCTGTTACATTGTCTCATCATTGTTCACCACAGAGTTTCCTGGATTTCTGTTGCTTCACATCACTGATACGAAACCGTATCAAATTCTCTGGTTTCTGGGAAAGAAGCTGAAAGTCTTTTCAAAATGAGCTAATAATCTGGACTTTTTCGCAACAGATAGTGTGTGTGTGTGTGTGTGTGTGTGTGTGTGTGTGTGTGTGTGTGTGGTGTGTGTGTGTGTGTGTGTGTGTGTGTGTGGTGTTGTGCGCCGGGTGTGTGTATCCTTGGTGTACAGCTCTCTGTAGGAGGTGAAATGGTTTTCTGAGAAGTGCCTGGGACCTTTTCATAGAAACGGAATGAGAGGTCAGTGTCATGTCTGAGACCACATTTGGCTTTTCACTCTGGCTTCATTTCTAAATCTTACAACAAATCACCGGAAAAGACAAACACCGTCAGTCCCCCTCGCCTCAGACTGAACTAAACACTTGATTTAAAACCCTCACCACCGGAAAACCACACTGTGTTAACACACTTCCACTGTTAGCCATAGGTGTCTCCATTAATCAGTGGGACTTAATGATCGTCACTGATTCCACAAATCAAAGCACAAAGGAAAAAAAACACTTTCCTAAAGAGTGCAGGCTGTGGAAGGCAAAATATCCAGTTCATCCAATATCAATTATAATTACCTATAATATCAGTGTATTAACATCTGCAAATGTTTGACTCATTTTGGATCATTTTGGCCGACTGTCTGTGCAGTTTTCTTTGTCTCAAAACGCGACGCAGACACTAAGCGATTGCACTCAGCTATGAGTCGAACTTCTCATTTTGTCAGTTGTGCTCGTCTTTGAGGTCTGACGTTGATGCACAGGGGACATTGCCTCATGTCTTGATCCAGAGCTGGGTTGTGTTTGACCCTCGGGCGAGCTGACTATCATGACGGCCCCTGTATGTGGACCGACCATCCCTCTTCTGCTTTCTCACTTTGGTTGAATCCCACTTCTCCATCTCTTCCAGACCACACTCCTTAACAGAGATAGTCAAAACCTTTTTTTTCTCGAGTCCAAATCCAAATCCTCCTCCATTTGTGTCATTGAGTTTGATGTCAAGGACCTGGATTGGCTCTCAGTAAGCTGGGCTTCAGCATTGCTTCTGGTTCATTGGTGGTCAATGGACCAAGCACACGGATGGAAGAGTCCTCTGATTCCACTTCGGTAACACTCGGCCTTGACTTCCATGAACACTTGAGTCCTGGATTTCTCATGTTCATCTTGAAGGCTTCACAGGGCCTCCTGTAGAAACTCGTGCTCCTGAAGGGAGACCTTCTGTTTCTGTTTGTGTCTGATCATCTATTCATGCAAAGAAAGCCCGTGTGCTTGACTGCTAACTCGTTACTGCTGGTGTACACCAACACTGTCACTCATTATGTAAATGTTTTGTTTTACCTGTAATGATGTTCCATGACAGGTTCATGTTGTTTACACATCTCCACTTTTTCTGGCTGCTTTAATTCTGCTGTTCATTCTATAAGTACCGGCAGTAATTTGATTTACGCAGCTTAATGTTGCTACAAGATAATCTATGGACACCCACCGTGGTCTCCTGGTTTCTATTATTTTGTCCCATGTACAGCAATGACAGGTTAACTCACAGAAACACCTCTCTGTATGATGCAGTACAACATCCTCCAAAACGACTTACAGATGAATCAACAACTCTCTAAAACAACTTCAATAAAAACTGAACGTTATAAAGGGAGGATTTATTGCAGGGCTCATTAGTTTTAGCTGGGTGTTCTAATAAACTGCCAACTGAGCAGTATATTTGTAATTGCTTGTTGTATGCACAGGCTGCAAAGTGCCTGACTGGCATTAATTGGGTGTTTTTGTGTGTTTGTTCAA